TTGAATGAAAACATCCTTACTAGTATATTCTACACTGGAAGAGACAATCCACAGTTAAGGAGGAAAAAATCAAAAGGAAAAGAAAATGTATCATATGAAGGTTCAAGTTGATGCTAATGCGAGCTAGCAACATCCCAGCTTCAAAATCCTCAAGATCCCTGGTCTTACCTTTTTGACCCTTATAATCCAGAAAATTTTGAAAAATTAGAACATTGGCTACAAGAAGAAAATAACAAGATGAAAAATATGCAAGCTGGACTATCGTTAGATTCTGAAAACTCAGATGAACTAGCAATGACCACAAAATCTTGGTATCTCGTGAGTCGTGAATCACAAAAATCATCCAACTAGCATAATAAAAGTATTTTATCATTTTGTGTGAGTTTTCAATTGTATTGTTAAATAATTGATAAAGTATTTTTTTCTTTATCAAAAGTTTATACAATAGATTCCATCCCTATCAAAAGTGGCCTCTTAATCAAAAAGCTGTTTGTTTGTTTGTATAATCATTGTACTCAAATCATGATGCTTTTCAAATTCTATATTATTGTGTTGTTTGTCTGAAGATTGAAGGAGTCTCATCCTCTATATAAGGAGCTATCTTCCTTCATTGTAGATCATCAAAAAATAAAAATAAAATCATCAGTTACACAAAAGCATGAGTTTCTAAGATTCCTCTATTTTCCACTGGTATCTGAAATTCTAATATTAGACTTGAATAAGTCATGTTATCTGCTTGAGCAGACACACAAGTATGCTATGTTGTTGCCTCTTCTGAAGATCCTTGTCATCAGAAATTGTACTACAAACCATGACGATCGCCAGGAAGATTTATGATCCTAAGAGAGGTCCTAGTTTGATGCTTAGCCATTTGTCTGTGAGCTAGAATACATGGATCACATTATACATCCTGATTTTTGATAATATCTCTAGTAAGTCATCCTGCATCCAAACATACTAATCACCTACATAGGATAAAAATCATTTTATAAAATTATAAGTTATATTTTATCAATGCTCATGTCACAACTAAATAAATTGAACCAAACCGAACTGAACTGAGGGATTCTTCTTAAATTAAATACCCAAAAGAAAATTGAAATAGAGAACCGATGGGTTTGGTTCGGTTCTAGATCAAGAATCGAAGAATCGAATAAGCATAGAATTTCCCTAATTTTTATAGTTAATTTATTTTAAATAAGCCAAATTATTATTTTTTAAATAAATTTTTTAACTAGTTAATTTAGTTCAAACCAAAAAAAAAAAAAATGATTTTCCTATTTCTAATTTTCAGTTCAAAGCCAACTTAATCAAATTGATCTAAATTTTACACAAATATGTTACTCTACTGTAGTGCTGTTTCTACCGTTATGAAGAAATTGAATTGAAGCTCGACAACGCTTCTCTTAATTATGTTAAACTCGCTATCTTTCTCTTCCTGTAATTTTAATAATCAAATCTATCAAGAACTCAGTAAAAAGAGATGCAAAAGACACATACAATTAAACTACGTTATATTGTAAGAGCTAAGATTGAACATATCATTAGTTGGATTAATGTAACTTTGTAAATATTAAAAAATGTAATTATAATACGGAACCTGGGAATCGAACCGAACCAAATTGATCTGAACCGAATGGATCCTTACCCGAACGGTTTCATAATTAAATTTGGATTCGACGATTCTAGTTATTAAATACCTGAAAATTTTGGATTTTGTTCGATTCTTGTTAGAATTGAATCCAACCGGACTATGTTCAGCTCTACTAAGAGAGGTCCTAGTTTGATGCCTTAGATTAGCCATTTGTCTATGAGCTAGAATACATGGATCACATTATACATCCTGATTTTCGATAATATCTCTCGTGAGTCATCCTGCATCCAAACATACTAATCACTTACATAGGTTAAAAATCATTTTATAAAATTATAAGTTATATTTTACCAATGCTCATGTCACAACTAAATAATTGAACACTTTTCGAATCCCAATTTTCTGTCACTGAATATATACTTCCTCATAGAGGTCTATCCAGTTCACACTGACCCAACCGCCAAAGGTTTCTTAATACTAAAATTTTGACTTTCCAACCTATTTAACGATGAGAGGCTGGAATGTGAAATTTAATAGGATAATTGCATTTTAATTGCAATATTTTGCTCATTTATGTTGTCAATTTTTTCATCACATTCTTATCATCGACCTTCTATTATTTGCATGTCTGGTCTTTGTCAAAAATCTGTTAGAAGTGCATAAAAGACATTTTTGCCTCGTAATTTTAAATAATAAAAAATTATAAACGTAAAAGCATGACAAAATATTTTCACCTCAGTTTAATGCATGTTAGCGCAATGTTTGGACAAAAATAGTCGTCAAATACAAGATGTGTTAATTTTAAATGCATGTTAAAAATTAAAAAGCGATAAAAATATTGGAAACATAATGTCAAAATGAGAAATTAGGAAAAACTCATTGCAATTAAAATGTGGTGCAATTAATAAAAATTGTGGTGTGAATATATCTACTCAAGTAAAAATTAGGGGAATTTTAAATTATTTTACGATTTTCCTGTCAAATTCTAATTCACGTGAAAGTCAGAGTTGATATTGTTGTTTCCCATTATGTACGGACTTAGCCCCTATTTTATTTGGTTAAAAATCAGATTTATATACATATAAACTTGATGAAATGTATGTTTGAAAAGTTGTAAAATTCATAAATTTTGTGTTTAAAAATGTGTTTGAGGAAAAACAACCTTTAAAAATGGGGCCAAACAAGGGTTTAATTTTACAATGTTAAATAGGTTTGGAAGCCATATAGACCTAGATGTTACGAAAGGGTCGAGTAGTTTGTTAGCTCTTCTACTCGTTGGGGCTCGATCCATAGGCAGCTCAGACTCATTTTGCGACAAGCCCTAGTCAAATGGAGGGCTTGGTAGGTGGCCACTCACCTATGACAAAACATACTCACCTATGACAAAACATTCTCAATTTCACAATGAATTTGTCGGTGCCAACGACGTCTCCATTACCCACGATTTACCATAGATTATTTAATTAGAATCAAGAGTCAATTGATTCATGATTTACATATATAGTGGTGTTATATCGTTTTACTACGGATTTATGGGAAGACATTAATAAAACAGGTTATATAGTCATAACTGCACTCCATAGACCTACATTAGGTTATGCAAAAAAATATAACTGCTTTTAAGATAATTGAGTTTTCTCTAAATGCTAACAGTATCTTTAACTACCTTATACAAATTATTAAAGAATATCGCTATGAAAGTAAATTTGTTCTTTTACGTTTGACAATAATAGTATTAATAAGCCTGTTATAGATAAATTTTGTAGGGTTCATAATCTTGATTTTGGTGATTTTTTGTTTCATATTCACTGTGTATATCACATTTTTAATTTAATTTTGCAAAATGGTACAAAATATATAAAAGAATAAATGAAGAGAATTATGGATGCACTAATATATCACCAAATAGAAAATAAGCATTCGAGAAATATTGTGTATAATTTGGATAAAATTCCAAAAAGTTGTAACTGCCGAGGGTATAGATAAAACTCCATTTACTTATTATTAAAATTAAATGAATGATTTGAACATTTACTGAATTTTATAACTTTAGGAATCAGACATCGGACGCAAGTCCAACTGGAATGCCTGTTGAATTACTTAACTATTTTAATCATCACATGTTTAGGAGCGTAGAGCTTGTTAATGTAATACAATTTGATTTACTTGATTTTTGATGAAAGAACGAATGAAAATATCCAATTGTTTATGCGATTGCAAAAGATCTAATAACATCTCCGGTTACCACTATAATTTTGGAGTCTACTTTTAGTGCAAGTAAATGAACTCTATTCGAGGTCAGAAGTAAACTCAAAAAAGACATTTTGGAAGAATTAATATGCTTAAAGGATTGGCAATATGCTTATTTTTGAATCCAAAATAATTAAGTTTACCAAAATTGTGTATAGTCCGGTAAATAATATTTGATTTCATCGTATAATTTAACTTTGTTATTTTCTTAACAACAAGTTATTCATGTATAATTTTAACTCTACGTATTCAAAAATTTAGTAGTCGGCCACAATTTTGGATAAAAGAAGGAGGGTTTCCAAAATAAAATTTTTAAAAAAAATTCAAATATGAATTCAATTTATTATTTATACAATCTACTACAACTTTATACATTTTATATCAATACAATTCAATTATTCAAATATCATATTAAATCTCTGCATTCAATTTAACGAAAAATAAAGATTGTTGCATCAATTAAAGCAAGCCTCCAAAAATGAGGAATCCGATTCCTCAATTTCTAGGTAACGTCAATGAAGTGTGCTACCAAACACAAGTGTGTTCGGTTCATGTGTTTGACAGATGCTTCATTGGCGATGAGAACTTGAGAAAATGTCGGAATTGATTCTTTATTTTTGGATGCTTGACTTGGAAAAAAAAAATTGTATACGTAATAAGTTATTCGTGTACAATTTTAATTTCTAGTAAAAGGAGGGAAGGGGGGGGGGGGTTAAAATACATTAAAAAAAATGTTAAGCTAGTGAGCCAAGCTCAGATTGGACCACTAGCCATGAGCTCGAATCCGCTTCTCTATTTGATGAATAGAGCTTGTGAGTAATGGGGTCGAGTTGCTATTGATACATGGACCACTTTATATTGCTCCTGTTTAGTGGAAATTAAAATTAAATTTTTAGTAGATTTTGATAAAAGTTGATGAAATGTGTGATTAAAAATTAAGGAGTTGTTTGAGCCCTATTTTTCTCAAAAAATGCATTTTGAAATGGTGTTATAATGGAGAATGTGGGGTTAAAAAATAAAGAAAAATTTTCAATTTGTAATGTCAAATTATTATTGAAGAATGTATTTTGATGGAAAAAAAAACTCCAACAAGAATTTTTACTTTGACTTGAATTACAAACAAAGCATTACCCAAAAGTTGACTGTGATAAAACGCCACAACAGATAAGGTGGGGAATCCATCTCTAAGGTTTCTTGGGAAATGAATTTCCAGCCGGCGCTCCTTAAACATGCCGCGTCTGTATTTTTCTTCCTAAATCCTGATTTAAACCCTATCTCAGGAATTTTTGTATCCAGATATCTCTAGCTTCCTCAAATTTCTATCTATCAATGGCCGAACAAAATGTAACAAGGTATCGCATAGGCTACGCATTGGAACCAAAGAAAGTGCAGAGTTTCATTCAATCCTCGCTTATTATTCACGCTAAGAACCGAGGCATTGATCTGGTTCCAATCGATCTCAGCAAACCCTTAATCGATCAAGGTCCATTCCATTGCATCATCCACAAATTGTACGGCCCAGAGTGGAGAGAACAATTGGAAGAATTCTCTTCCCGAAACCCCGATGTTATCATCGTCGATCCTCTTGACTTCATCGACCGGCTTCACAATCGGATTTCCATGCTCCAAGTTGTAAACGAGCTAAAGATCTGTCAACAAACTGAAATTTTGTTCGGGATTCCGAAGCAAGTTTTTGTTGAAAATCCTGCATCCTTTTATGAATGCATTGAAACAGAGGGGCTGGAGTTTCCTGTAATCGCGAAGCCGTTGGTTGCGAATGGGAGCGCCAATTCTCATCAAATGGCCCTAGTTTTTAATAAGGAGGGTTTGAAAGGGTTAAATCCCCCAATTATACTTCAGGAGTTTGTGAACCATGGAGGAGTGATTTACAAAGTTTATGTGGCTGGAGAGCATGTGAAATTTGTGAAACGGAAGTCCTTGCCTGATATTTCGGAGGAGACACTGGGTACTTCGGAGAATTTGTTGTCATTCTCGCAGATATCGAATCTGACAGCTCAAGATCAGAGTGATGAGAGAGTTGCTAGGCTGATTGAGGAGGCTAAGATGCCACCACTGAGTTTTTTGACTGAAGTAGCTAATGGGTTGAAGAGCGCTTTAAAATTACACCTTTTTAACTTTGATGTTATAAGGGACAGTAGGGTTGGCAATCGATATCTTGTGATTGATATTAATTACTTCCCAGGGTATGCAAAGCTGTCCTCATATGAGACTATTTTGACAGATTTCTTTCTTGATATTGTGCAAAGGAAGCAGAGGGTGAACTCGGATGACGATTTATCAGCATAGGTGTTTTGGAGGCAAAGTGAAACCTTTTCCTTGTTGTAGTGATGATAAAAAATGACATTGCTTTTGGATTCATCTCAGTGTATGACGGGCTTAAAGCATTTGAAGTATATAATCGATGATTGATGCTACGAGTCTTGAACGATCTGCTTCTTGTACGTTTAACTGTTTCCAAATTTCTACTTCTACTCGAATAAATCACACGTAAGAATATGTTTAATTCTACTCGAGAGAGATTGTTAAACAATTTAGAAATATTAATTTTCATAATTGAATCATGTTGTCAAATTTATAAATTTCAGGTTAAAGGGGATTAATATAAGGGAATTTGAAATCCTAGTATGCATTTCATCATCATATTTTTATAAAACTAGAATTTATTTATAATCCTACATTTATTTTAATTTAAGTTAGGTTTTGCATTTATAATTAGATTATTTAATTTATAAGAAAAATCACAATTTTCAATTGTTTCGGGTAAGGCTAAGTAAATTCGAATTTGAGCTAGTACAATCTCTGTGGAAATGATACTTGAACTCAAAAATTCATTTTACTACTTTTTAAAGAACTGTACAATTACTGTGTTTTGATCGAACAATAATTCATGAACAAGTTCGATCTAATTTTCGTGTGTTCTTATGCAGGTTATGAATATTACGTAGCAATACATATATAAAGTCCTCATCCACGCACACTTGTTGAAAATTATTCTCACCCCATTATGTCTCTACTTTCATAAAATTGATTATTCGAGACGATCGACACAGAGATGGCTTATGGTGATAAAGATTTCAATAATAAAATTATTATTTTGTCAAACTATTATTTTTTCATTTGATTTTAAATATTTTAAGATATTTTTCATTTCAAGTTAATTTATTAAACTCATTACATTATTTGAATTTTGACAAGTGCTTTAATAATTTATATTTAATACTCTTTGAATTAATTTTAATTTATGATCTAGTGGCATTCAAATCGTTAAGGATTCGAGTCATTGCATAGCCACCTGGTGAACATTTAAAGGCTCAACCTAATCTTCCAAAATAAATTATATTTATTCATTTACGATGTCTAAAACGGCCTTTATTTTTTTTAGTTTCAAATAAAAAGCAGAATATGTGATATATCAAACTAAGCTAGCCCCGAGTTTTAAGCAGTTCTGCTTTGATAACTCCTCGGCACAAACTTCTGACTGATTTCCACCAGCCATCATATGTAAAACATAAGGCCTAAAACTTGCATAACTTTGACAATTCTGTGTGCAAATCATAATATTAAAACCCTGATAATCTGTTGTCCAGAAAATAGAGCCCCACTGTGGTAGTCCAGCCTTTAATCATATGATATCGCTGATATTAGCAACGTTTCATCAGGATAGACAAAAATACCAGCAAGAGTTGAGACTATTTTACCATTCCAACTTTCATGTTATATATATATATATATATATATATAACATGAAAGTTGGAATGGTAAAATAGTCTCAACTCTTGCTGGTATTTTTGTCTATCCTGATGAAACTTTGCTAATATCAGCGATATCATATGATTAAAGGCTGGACTACCACAGTGGGGCTCTATTTTCTGGACAACAGATTATCAGGGTTTTAATATTATGATTTGCACACAGAATTGTCAAAGTTATGCAAGTTTTAGGCCTTATGTTTTACATATGATGGCTGGTGGAAATCAGTCAGAAGTTTGTGCCGAGGAGTTATCAAAGCAGAACTGCTTAAAACTCGGGGCTAGCTTAGTTTGATATATCACATATTCTGCTTTTTATTTGAAACTAAAAAAAATAAAGGCCGTTTTAGACATCGTAAATGAATAAATATAATTTATTTTGGAAGATTAGGTTGAGCCTTTAAATGTTCACCAGGTGGCTATGCAATGACTCGAATCCTTAACGATTTGAATGCCACTAGATCATAAATTAAAATTAATTCAAAGAGTATTAAATATAAATTATTAAAGCACTTGTCAAAATTCAAATAATGTAATGAGTTTAATAAATTAACTTGAAATGAAAAATATCTTAAAATATTTAAAATCAAATGAAAAAATAATAGTTTGACAAAATAATAATTTTATTATTGAAATCTTTATCACCATAAGCCATCTCTGTGTCGATCGTCTCGAATAATCAATTTTATGAAAGTAGAGACATAATGGGGTGAGAATAATTTTCAACAAGTGTGCGTGGATGAGGACTTTATATATGTATTGCTACGTAATATTCATAACCTGCATAAGAACACACGAAAATTAGATCGAACTTGTTCATGAATTATTGTTCGATCAAAACACAGTAATTGTACAGTTCTTTAAAAAGTAGTAAAATGAATTTTTGAGTTCAAGTATCATTTCCACAGAGATTGTACTAGCTCAAATTCGAATTTACTTAGCCTTACCCGAAACAATTGAAAATTGTGATTTTTCTTATAAATTAAATAATCTAATTATAAATGCAAAACCTAACTTAAATTAAAATAAATGTAGGATTATAAATAAATTCTAGTTTTATAAAAATATGATGATGAAATGCATACTAGGATTTCAAATTCCCTTATATTAATCCCCTTTAACCTGAAATTTATAAATTTGACAACATGATTCAATTATGAAAATTAATATTTCTAAATTGTTTAACAATCTCTCTCGAGTAGAATTAAACATATTCTTACGTGTGATTCGACTATATTTTTATGATGAATGTGAACATATAAAACGCATTAAAAATTTATGAAAACTTAAAGATCACGTAAAACATAGTTGTATATTTCTATCTTTTAATGGACTCTACGACGATTGATACTATGTTTAGCTTATTTTTCATCTTTCGAGGATAAAACAAGACACAATATTCATATAATTGGTTACAAGTAATTGTAGAGAAATATAAATTCGTGTCAATTATTCAAAATTAAAAACGTGCGTTGAATGTAAAAAATAAATAAAACAAGTAATTATTTAGCCTAGAATAATGTTGGAATTAAACAAATAAAAGTAAAATGACATCACAAAAAATCGACAGAACGTGAGTAATATCCAAATTTCTTGTACAAATTATTGATGAATTACTGCACAGAAATCTGAAGTTATTTCTTCAGCTCCCCTCGTCTGCCCTTGTTTCGCGCGTGTTAATTCGTTAACAATTGAAGAGGATCAGACGATTGTGTAAGGGACGAAACCTCTTGAGACAAATTCCCAAAAAGGGGTGTTTTTTTTATTGGCGATGAACTTTACAATTGGAAACGGAAAACAACGTGCCTCCAAGGGGCGCAAGCACACGAGTTACAGAAAAGGAAATGTTTAAGTCTAAAAGCTAAAGGAATGAAAATTACATATTCTCTGTTCGAGAGTTTTGGATTCGGTCCTTTGCTTCTAAGTTCTTTCTCCCTTTTATACTTCATAGGCGATCCCTTTGTGATTAATTGCTCTAAAAAACTGCTTGATCGCCCTATAACTACCCACTTTCTTTGTAGTGTCCATTTGTCATGAAACTGTCCTTTTAACTGCTGCCATTATCTTGCATCGTTCAACCGTTTTCGATTGAACCCCTTAAGTCGTGGAACGTGATAAAAGTTACTTTAGCAACTGCCTCAATAACTGTATCATAATGCGTTATGTTTGTTGATACCTTGGGCGACTTGAAGATTTGGGCGAGACTCTGGACGACCGTATGTCACTCTATTCGTTCAGACTCTGAGCGACTTGCAAACTTAGACGATGGCGTTACCGCACTATTGGGCCCCTTATTTGGGCATTCACCTTGATTCGTTCAATTGGATTTCGTTCTTTGGGCTATCTGATTTGGAGATCTTCCAATTGGGCTTTACTCTCTGGGTTGTTCGATTTGGGCTGAATTTTTATGTGTCAACAATTACCCCCCAATATGGCAGAATTAATAATAATTATTGAATTTTGCTATATTCACTTCACGTCTTCAGCAACGTTCACGATTCCCAAAAAATTTCAATCATTGTTTCCTTCTATAATTTGAAAAGGTGCGTCGCTTTGCAAACCCTTATAAACTCCAAACACGCCATTTTACTGCTACGAAATCACGTTTCATATTTCTTACGCATCCTTCACGATTCACTGTTCATCTTTTGCTTCCTTGTTACGTAACTCTGAAAAGTTTCGTTCCTTCTTCAATGGCTGCTTTACAATCCCAAGCTAGCGATTCCTTTAATTTTGATGATTTTCAGAAACTTCTGAGTCGTTCATACGTAACCCCAAGTTTTCTTGCGCCCGCCGATGTTGGACGTAATGAGTTTTACTTGGGTCCTTTCTTCAACAATGCTGAAGCAGTCGAACAGGCGGCGGTGGGTCAGCTGTTTCCTTGCACTCATGGTCCTCCTTTTCTGAATTCTTTGCCGCTGGGGCCACTTCGTGAAAAAGGTATTCGCACTTGGCCCAAATCTGACGTAGCTTTTCGTAGGTGGCATGCTCGTCTTGTGGGTCATGGTCCTACTAAGGCACTTTTTGATAGCGCTAGGATTTCTGATTTGTTGGAAGTCTCTATTCGCCCCCCTACTTTTGATTCAGCGCTCTTTCCGATTGCTTTGAGCTTTTGGTCCTCTGAGTATAACACATTTATTTTTCCTCTTGG